ATGGTGAGGTGTTGTGTGACTTGTAGTTTAAAAAAATAACTCTTTTCAACTCTACAAACATACTGTATTATTCACAGTTATGTCCACTTCCATCATGCGAAGTCTGTTTCTCTTGTACCCTTTCAGCAGCATGTTTTCCTTGTTGACATCTGTAAAAAAAAAAAATCTGTGAATAGCTTAACGATTGTACTGAGAGTGGGTTGACCAAGTCTTGTTGCTGCTTACAGTTATGACAAGGTAGCAGAAGAGCAGCTAACAGAAGAAGAGGACATTGCAGATGTGGATGATGAAAATGCTGATGACGATGACGAAGATGGTGATGAGGCTGAAGAAGAAACAGAAGATCAGTTTCAGGAAGCCACTGAAAGAACAACCAGTATCGCTACAACCACCACCACTACTACAGAGTCTGTAGAAGAGGTTGTTCGAGGTAAGATGTTATTTATAGTGTGTAAGGTACAAGGAATGATCTTCATAGTGTGCATTTGCCCTTTACTATTAAAAATGTTCCAAACAGCAAAATATTTTATTGCTACACTTACCATTTTTCAGCATGATTTACAAATGCTATGTTTTCTTTCTTGTGTATGCCATCTCCGACTCCTGGTTACAGACAGTCCAAATTACAGAAGAGTCTCATTTCTGTGTGCATAAATTATGATTCAATATAACTGTGAACCTTTACTTTAAAAGAGTAGCAAGTGTATAATAAACAATTTTAGTAAGGTATGGAGTGGTGCTTGCCAGATCATCAGTTTAAATTAAGACGGAGTAAGTTTAACAAAAATAGACTCCAGGTTTAATAGGTAAGTTTTTCCTTCAGCAGTGAATTACATATATATTCTCATTTTTCATGAACTAGAAGTATAAGGTACAAATATAAAGGTTTAATAGGTAAGTTTTTCCTTCAGCAGTGAATTACATATATATTCTCATTTTTCATGAGCTAGAAGGAAGTATAAGGTACAAATATAAACTTAACACTAGCCAGGTATTTTAAAAACAGTCACACGAGAAAAATACTTTTTATGGCAACAGTGATAAAGAACCTAGAAAATTTGAGAAATGTAGCACAGACATAATGTTGCCAGTCTCTTGAAGTAGATACCTGCTCCAGTTGCCATCCGTCCTGTCCTTATTGCCTTTAATCATGTTTTACAATTTCATCTATACCAACCATGGTATTCATTAGTAGTTTTGATAGTTGTTACAGACGGCTTGACTTACAGACTTTTTGAGTTACAGACTTCTCTGGCCGCAAAATTTAGGTTTGACTTGCAGACTGAGATTTGACTTACAGACCAGAAAAAAACCAAAATGGAACAAAAACGGCCTGTTACGGGATTAATCTGTTTTCAATGCACTGTAGGTCAATGGAGACTTGACTTACAGACTTTTTGACTTGAGAACCGCCTTCCAATACGGATTAAGTTCTCAAGTCAAGACCCCACTGTATTCATTAGTAGTTTTGATAGTTGCTTCATTATGTTAAGTTGGACAGTTCTGTACACATTATCTTGTGCATTGTTAGTTGCCTTTGGCACATAATTCAGTCAGCCATTCAGTTGTCAACTGAGCAATGTTTTCAGGCAAGATTCAAATCCTTGTTCATTTTGGCAGTAACTGAGGTTAGTGGCCTTCCCTCCTGTCAATACTTGATCTTTACTTTTCTATTTTAATTTTCGTCTATACTTTTTCCATCTTGAATGATATTAATATTACTGATTTAAATTGTTGTTTTTAATTGTTCTGTGATATTCCTATGGTAAGCCGCTCAGAGTAGACATGGTCTAAATAGGCGGGATATAAAGTTAAATAAATAAATAAATAAATAAATAAATAAATAAATAAATAAATAAATAAATAAATAAATAAATAAATAGTGTTATAGAAAAAATTGATAAGTCATAGTTTGTTCTAGCAGTGGAAGAAAAGGAATAACATTTTATTGGGGGGAGAGAGAGGAGCATGGAAGATGGCAACTCGTTCACGATCTCCTAAATGTGTTTTTGAGCTGAACAGCATAACAGCTGCACCAGGCCAATTACAGAGATCAGTAAGGGCAATTGATTTACAGATACTGTTTGAATTTCCTTCCTTCTCTTCTTGATAGTCACACAAGGTCAAGCTCATAACTGCTGTCCTAGTACACCTTTTTGTATTTTTCATAGAAAAAGGCAAAACAAGAAAAAGATGACCACAGTTGAAACAGATTTCCTTATTATTTATGTCCCTGTGCATTTAAAAAACACAGTGGCTAATGGAATAGTCTGTGGATTTCTGTATTTTGATGGTTAACTAGATCTCTATTCCAGTGTTTCACATCAAATACAGCAAAAGCTTCAGCGGGGCTCATCTCAAAGACCTGCCGGAAATGACAAGAACTTTAACTAGGCTAGAAAATCAAGGAAGTCCAAATAAACTTGTGTGGTAAGACAGAGCTTGAGGTAAAGCTCTGGAGGTTTCCAGAATGGACTCCATGCAGGTGCAGAACCCATTTGTGAGAAACATGGAACTACAAAGAAGGACAGTTTACTCACCTGTAACTAGGACTTCAAGTGATCACCCATGTATTCATATGAATGGGTTCCATGCCTGCATGGACTGTTTGCCACAACAGTGTTTTTCCCCCCTGCTTCCCCAACAAATGCATCCCAAAGGGCTTCCTCAGCTGACCTGAATGGATAGGCAAGAGGAATGGAGCCATTGTTCCCAAGTCAAAATTCACGGTGGCTGATGGACTTGATCTCTTTGGTGTATACCTTCCGACTCAGCTTGAAAATCTGATTTTATGGAGAGTGCAAGGCCCAGGCAGACATTACGTAACCCCTGCTGCTCAGCTGAAGAGTAGGCAGTGAAAGGTTACACAGAGTATATTTTTTGTCTACTGTAATTTCAGCTCCCCATTTATATTTAATCAGTAGAAGCCAAAAATGTTCTTGCTAGAAAGCCACATAAATATTCTTGTATTCTCTAGGAACATAACAGTTTCAATCCTACCTAGAGAATGACAGGTGAAAGCCTGTTATTTCTTGCCCATTGGCAAGATTTACTTTGTGAAAGGTGTATTTTAAACAACTAATCCACTTCTGGAAAACAAGGATAGAGAAGGAGGAGGAAAGAATAGGTTTGTGGGGTTTCCTTTTAGACTGATACATGCTTACATCCTGGCAATATTCTGTTGTGACAAGCATATCTAATGCTTTTGTATGTTTTCAGTAGCACCAGGGAACCCAGGTCTCTGTTGCTGTAACAACGTTTTCCAAGCCATATGTTTCCTGTGGGGTCTGTAATTTAACTAGAATTTCGTTCTCCCAGGTTCTTTGGTTTGGAATATATAGTACCTTATCAGAAGTGACTTGATGGCATGTGACTTGATGGCATGTAACAAAAACATAGCACCTTAGTTTAAGCTGCTAATATTTTGTCTGTCATAGGGTCCTACAGCTGTTGTCACCTGCATGGTGGCCTTTTCAGGGAATAGGAAATGACAAGAAGTTGTAGGAAGACTGTAGAAAAGCAGAAGCACATCTTTGGAAACAATAGATGTATCCTCACTGTACTGTCTTTACCAAAAAAAATTACAATGTTGACTGTTACTGTACTTCATTACCTTTCATGTTATCTCAGTATGAAATGGAATGTTGGTGATACCTGGAATGAGTATCATTTTAGAATGTCTAGAGCAGTGGCTCCCAACCTTGAGTCCCCAGATGTTCTTGGACTACAACTCCCAGAAATCCTGGCCAGCACAGCTACTGATTAAGGCTTCTGAAAGCTTTAGTCCAGGAACATCTTTGGACCCAAGGTTGGGAGCCACTGGTCTAGGGGAAGTGCCAAGAATCTGAAGAATTCCTTCCTTTACATCCATTTGCTGAATTTTCTTTTTTCCTTTTCCTCCCTGTTGTTGCCAAGAAACTTCATTTCCCAATTACTTTTAATAAGAAGTAGCAAATAGACTTTTAAACTTTAATGAGAGAACAGCTTGAAGACAGAACAGTCAGGTAATTTATTAAAGGAAGCTATCGGTATTTACAGCAGTCTTGTAAACACTTGGCAACCCTGTTAGTAACCATTCAACAAAGACAGGAGACTTCACAAAGTTCTGCTTGCCTTTTCTTGTATTCTGTGCTAGCGTTTAGTGGTGTCTCCATTTATTTGAACATCCTCCCTTAAATATTTAAGAAATTGTTAAAACTAAATATTGCAAATGCAGATGCCTTACTTGCAATAAAGAAGATCATCTGATTCTTCCATGCATATCAAACAAAAAAAACTCGAAAATGGGTGGGGCACCCCATACTTGGTCCAAGCATGGACTATGCTGGATGGAGGATTCTGGAACTTGTAGTTTTTTTAAAAAGTAACTTTTTCAAACTTGTAACAGAACAGTAGTTAGTGAAACATAGAGACCATGGTCCTGTGGAGTGCTGGTGAAAAGGAATAGTGCTAGTGTAGTAATATCAGGTTCCCGAGTGTGCTTTTATGCAAGTGGGGACATTGCTGTAGTAGCACCACTTTTGCTTGCTTGAAAAAAATACTGGACACCTCTTTGTATGAGCAAAAAAATACTCTCAAACCACTCATGTTGTTGTCTACTGTACTGACACCTTAATAGACTCCTACCCCAGCGCTTTATGTCAACATTTTATTTGTTTGTTTGTTTGACTGGCTGCCAGGGCCACTCTGGGCAGTTTACAGTTTGGCCATGAAATACATTAAAAGGATACCACATTTGAAGCCAGGTATGAGAATTCTGCTCACTGGAAGTACAGATGCTGAGGCTCCAATAGTTTGGCCTTCTCATGAGAAGAGAGGACTCCCTGGAAAAGACCCTGATGTTGGGAAAGTGTGAAGGCAAGAGGAGAAGGGGACAACAGAGGACGAAATGGATGGACAGCGTCACTGAAGCTACCAATACGAATTTGACCCAACTCTGGGAGGCAGTGGAAGACAAGAGGGCCTGCCGTGGTCTGGTCCATGGTCACGAAGAGTCGGACATGACTTAACGACTAAACAACAACAACATGAGAATTCTGTGCCCAGTGCACACAAATATAAATTTAAATCAGTGCTTCCCAAGCTTGGTTCCCCAGATGTTCTTGGACTGCCACTCCCAGATATCCTGGCCAGCACAGCTAGTGGTGAAGGCTTCTGGAAGTTTTAGTTCAAGAACATTTAGATGGTTTTGGTTATTCCCTAGAAATGTGTAGTGATAGGGTGAGGAGGATGTGTTTCAGCCTGTAACACTTGCATATATCAAGCACAACAGTAGTGACAAATTGACTTAAAAGGAGCGGTTTAACATAAATCTAAATAAACTGATGTCAGGTAAGGAGGTAATGAAGCAATGTCATTTAGTATTATACTGCTTTAGACAGGAAATGTGCACATATTTTTTTTCCTGTTTGGAACATTATTGGTAAAGGGCTACAGCTATGTACACTTTTGTGCAGCTGATTTCTGATCCAAGCATATTGATTTTTTATCTGTGAGAGGTCTTGGATTCAGAGGTATCTGTCCTACGTAAACACTATCAGCTGTTCAAAGACATATTCTGTCAGCATGTGGTTATCTCTCATACACAGAACATGAAAACCAGGTTTTAAGGACAGATTTGGTCCTGCACCAAGTTTTGTATTAAGAAGAATTGTTACTGTTGCTGCTGCTTCCTTGATTTTGGCAGTGTCAGAAACAGCTTTCGTGCTATTTTAAATTTTTATTCAGTGAGATGATGTATTGATACATGCTCATTTCCAGATAAGACCATTGTTTTCAGTTTGGGTTCTTGCCTGTTGGACTTAAGGCATTTTAAAACTGGTTTCAAAAGTGAGACTCCTGAAGCACTTTTGAAGTAACAGCCAGTTTATGGAGACATCCTAAATAAACCACTCTTTAGAGTGACTCTTAGTGTGTCCTGGGACTGTATCTTTCAAATACAAATTGAAGCGTGTACAATAGAGGCGACAATTCCACTTTCACGCTAAACACAGTTCCCCCACATCTCCTATAATTAGAGGTGTGCTCTGAACAAGCTGAGACTGGTCCTTGCCGAGCAATGATCTCCCGCTGGTACTTTGATGTGACTGAACGAAAATGTGCACCATTCTTTTACGGCGGATGTGGTGGAAACCGAAACAACTTTGACACTGAGGAGTACTGCATGGCAGTCTGTGGCAGCGTCAGTAAGTGGACCTTTCCAGCCTGTGGCAGTCTCTCTTTCTCTCTGCTCTCTCATGCCACTCTGCCTCTGCTGTTCTGTAGTGGATTGTTTTTTTTAACCTCCCTGAGAATGGGTCTGTATTACCACTAACCATATCTCTGTCAGTTTCTCTAATTGCAAACATCTTGTAGAGTGTGTTCGGCCATTAGTACGCATCTCTGTCTCTCTTATTCTTTCTAGTCAAGCATGACAATTGGTGACTTCTTTCCTCTATGTTCCAGACACAAATTGTCTTGCAACAAGGTAATGGAAATTGGGAGCCAAGGCACTTAGTCCTAGAGTATCTATTATCGGAGTTACTATAGAAGTAATCTAAAACGTTGCCTTAGATTATTTTTTTTCTGTCTTTTGATAACCCAATCGGCATGCATGAAAAGACAGACAGACAGACAGACAGACAGACAGACAGACAGACAGAAAGAGCCTGAAAAACCCAGAACAACTGGTAGGTAGGTAGGTAGGTAGGTAGGTAGGTAGGTAGGTAGGTAGGTAGGTAGGTAGGTAGGTAGGTAGGTAGGTAGGTAGGTAGGTAGGTAGGTAGGTAGGTAGGTAGGTAGGTAGGTAGGTAGGTAGGTAGGTGCACATACATACACACACGTACGTACGTACGTACGTACGTACATACATACATACATACATACATACATACATACATACATACATACATACATACCAATAATCTTCAGACTGCACAGATGGAAGGGACCTGTGGGTCATTGAGTCCAGCCCATCAAGGAGATGCATGTGGGAACTGAACTCCCAATTTCTGGGTCCACAGCCAGAAACCTAAATGACAGCTATTCAGCAGTTCAAATGGATGGATGGATGGATGGAGGAATCAAGGGAGGAAGGGATCTAACAGAAACAATTGTTTTCCCTCAAAAGTATATGTGGAAGAAGAGTTTGGTTGACACAGGCATGTATACCATTGTTGTACATTTACTGGCTAGGAGCTTCAAGAATGAGATCAGATGTCATTATAAATTGTGTATTATAACAAGAGTGCTCTTAGTACATTTTGTGTGTCCCTGGTTCGCACCTCCGTTCTCCTTCAGCACAGGTAGGAGGCACAGGTTTTATTGACAGTTCTTATTAACTGTGCTCCCTCTGCCATCCAGCTGGTTAATAACTTCAGCTGTAATGAGATAGAGATGTCTTTGTGTTTAAAATGTTGGAGTGGGGCTGGGAAGAGTTTACACACTACTACTCAGTTCTGTCTCTCAGTCTGGCCTTCAAAGGGTTATTCGGAAAATAAAAGTACAGAAAATAAAAGCATACAACCTTAGGTTTGTAGGAAGAAAAGTGGAATAGAAACACAACAAATAAATAAATAATAAAACAATAATCTTATCCATAGTTTGTTTGAGACAATCCAGTTGCATAACCCATTATTCAAAATTATCTTGTTAAAGACAAGCCATAGTTTGGTGATGGTAATTATCATTAGAAAGTGAAAACTTCTGAATTCCTTCTGGCCACACTAGAGCAGAGGAGGAGAGTGGGGGACACATGGGCCCAAAGCTCATTTTCAGTGCAATATATTATGGTTATCCATGAATTTGGCCAATGTGTGAATAAGTTTCTTTGAATAACATTACATACAATCTGAAAATTCTATTTTGGTGCCTTTTTTCTGCATGCAAGTTGTCACTAGACGTTGCAGTCATCAGGTGCTGAAAATACTTGTATGAACCACCCAACTGATTACTGTATTGAAGTAAGAGGTGAAGATAAGTAAGATCCACAGTTGGGTAATTTGTGATGGTTTTATAGTGTGCACTTAATCTGCAGTGTCAATCTATAAGTCTCACTAGGGAGACTTATTACATTCAGGGATATATATTTCTGGATACACATGTTTAGAACTGCAGTATGTCTTGCACTGAGACCAGCTTACTCCTGTTGAAGGAAATGATCTACAGTCACTTCGTTAGTTCGTGCACCTAGGTGGCTAACATAGTGCATCTGTGGTCTCACAGGTGGGGAATCAGAATATAGCGGAAGACCTACCTTCCTTCATGTTATGAAAGAAAAGTCCTGTTCTCTCCTTTGCCTCACCACAGTCACTTGGGGAATTAGGAGGAAGAGGAGAATATGGGCTCATCAGTGCTTTATAGGTGGTGTAACTGTAAGAAATAGTTGGCAGTTGTGTTTCAAACTAAGATAAATTGACAGCGTTGCACAAGGACAGAATAAGCTCCCTTCTTAATTTCTTGCTGTTTGATGATGCAGGCTTCAGTTGTTTCATTGTCACCACAAAGCACATCCTTTTAATTTTTTCGTTCTGGATCTCCTGTTCCTTTTTCTCTTTCTCTTTATTTTATTTATTTATTTACAATAGTTTTTAGCCGCACCATTGCCAGTGGCTTCTGGGCGGCGTACAACATTAAAACCTAAAAACATTAAAAACATTTTAAGAAACAGTATAAAATACCATATATTAAAATATTTCTTAAAACAATTAAAACATTAAAATTAATTAATTAAAATGCTGGGTGAACAGAAAGGTCTTTGCCTGGCGCCGAAAGGCCAAGAGTGTCGGAGCCAGGCGGATCTCTCTAGGGAGGGTGTTCCAAAGTTGGGGGGCAACAACCGAGAAGGCCCTATTCCGACATGCCATCCCCTTCACCTCTTTCAGGGATGGCACCTTCAGAAGGGCCTCCTGGCCTGATCTTAGAGGACGGGCAGGCACATATAGAAGAAGGCGGTCTTTGTATTGTTTTGGTCCCTCCCTCACAGCAGAGTGAATCGGCTTCCCTGATTAATCTGCTTTTCAGGAGAGTATGGATTTTCAACCTTTTTTTCCCCTAGTTTGTTGGATTGATTCTGTTTGTCTGGTTGGCTGAAGTGCCATTTGTGACTAGGCTGACCCTTGAGGGTAAACACTGCAAACAGTGTGAGTTATGAATTTTTAAATGGATAAACAGAATGTGCTTCTGATAGCTCCTTGCTGAAGTAATTCACCCTCACCTTCTCTCTGTTCTTGCCCTTGCTTTCAAATAGGCTGAGTGCTTTGTGCTCCTCCCCTCTCTGTTTTGACCCTCAGCTATTAAAGGGCGCATTTCCCTGAGTGTGCATATATGAGAAGCAGCACTTGGTGCTAGATCATGGAGTCAGGGAGTCTTATCAAGCTATGGGAAAGAATATAGAAGAGTTTCAACAGCAGAGAATGAAAGGAACAGAGGGAACCAATAGCTTTAGTCTTATAAAATCTGACTGAGAAGCTTGGCAAGTTCCCCAAGTCTTCAGTATAAAGTGTTCCAGCTATAGCCAGCTGAGGTATTAAACTTTAATCAAGAGTACATTATATTGTATATCTTGAAGATATTTCAGGAAAATTACACTTGAAGGACTACCTCTTCCCATGTGATCCTGCCAGTCCCCTGCGTTCAGCACTATAGGCCTTGGTATTTCTCACATCATTTTCAGAAATACAGTCAATTGGGCATGAAATGGAAGAGAATCCAGATACTATTCAAATAAACTTCCATAGTATACAAACTGGGAAAGGAGGAAGTGGGATTATTTAAAAAATATGTGCCACAGGCTGGCTTTTATTTTACATATATCAAAACCTAGCAGAATTAATCACTGTTTACACAAGTGCCTATAATGCACTCTTCAGATATTATTACTTTCAGGAATAATATACTCTTGCTTTTTTGTGTTGTTGATTTGTGGTTTATTAAAGGTATCAGGCTACCTTATAGATGATGGCTGAGTTCCAGTGAGTACTTAAGACTCACACATGAGACTTTTCCATGTCCTTTGCATATTTTGGGGGAAAACAAAACCAAACCTGATTCCAGTGTTTGTTAACAATTTTGAAACATGTCTTAGTTTCCCAAGTGGTCTAGCTGTCTGCTATTTGAAAAAATATATCTGAAGCCCCCTTAGCTTCTTTGTTCTAAAGTGTGTTGCATTCTACTCCATACATTTTTATTGAATTAAATACAGCATTAATAACCTTATCTAGGATCAAGCCATTGTAGTTAGTGGGTCTTAATTTAGATGTGATAAAAACATTCTCACTCAATGTGAACTATTCTACATTTGACTAATTTGGATATAACCCTTTGTTTCTACAATGCTTTGTGCTACAGTTGCTGTTTTAGTTGTTGTTTCTCCCTCAAATAAGCAAGGCAAGTCAGATTAAGGTCTCCCTGTTCTTTGAGTTTGGTCTAACACTGCTAGGTTTTTGTTATTTTGAACTTTCTAAAATTGAGCATTAAGTTACTCTAGAATTACAATTATAAACAAAAGTGTTGCTTACTCTTTAGCCTGAGGCAACTAGATCACAAATAAAATGACTAGAGAAACTTATTGCTTGACTGAAGGTAACTTGGGAAACCACTTATTAAAAAGCAGAGTTTGAAACAATGGTGAGAAGGGAATCAGCCACAGCAAGCCGCAGATTGACATCATCGAGACTTTGGATGTTTACTACAACTTCATGTGTTATCTGAATTTGGCTATCTGTGGTTAATCTTAACAATAGTTTGCTCAAAACAAGTTTATTTCAAGGCATGGGCTCCAAAGGTGGTTTGTTTTTAAGTGAATCATAGCTAACATCAGCCACAGTTTGTTAGGCATGGGCTCCAAAGGTGGTTTGTTTTTAAAGGAATCATAGCTAACATCAGCCACAGTTTATGGATCTGATGATACAGTAACCTGCAGTCACCTGAAAATGGAAGGGAAACTTTTTAATCTCCTCACAGCCCTGATGAAGGGCAAAGGAAAGAGCATGTGAGACGAAATGTCTGAAGAAGACACCATAAGAACTACAACATAAGAACTACAAGTCACCATGAGTGACTAGTATGTCATAAGTCTTATATGTTATTGAGAGGAATGAGGAATAGGCAAATCTGTTTGGAATTCACATACGGCATACCAAGTCCCTGAAAAGGGGTCTCTGCAAAATCCACAATTAAGAATAGGTTCCTGGTGCCTGTAGATTTT